GCTGAGGTCAGCCCGGGTTGTAACGACACCCTCCCCGGGCCGGAGCTGCTACCGCTGCCAGGAGGCCTCGCCAGAGGTTTCAGTTACAGTTCACCTCCTTTCTCGCGAGTGCTCTGGGTTTCCTTGTGCATCTTTTGTTTAACCAAGACATCTCTAGATTTTTTTTTCTTTATATTATTTTAACCGTTTTGATGTTGTTTGCCCAGGCACTAAATCTTGGATTCTGGCTTTCTTTGAGGTTTCTCTCGCAGTCTTTCCTGTAGTAGGTCTGGTTGGTTGCTTCCATTTGTAATCCACAGTTCGCTTAACTTTGTTCAGAGTGGATGTGTACACTGAAGTGGTAAAGCTTCTGTTGGACAGCCTTTTAGTATTTCTACCTGTGAAACTGTATTGTGGATTGTGCAAATGAAAGCATTTCCTTCAACTTCTCTGCCTGTGAGCAAAATTTAAAAAACAAAAACAAAAAAACAAGCACAAAAAAAACCACCAGATAAATTGTTCGGCCTATCTGCGTACATCAAGGTTACTTCAAGAGTTGCCTTGCTCCTATATATGTTGCACGTTTTCTTTAGTCAAAGCTCTTCCAGATCCCATCATGAAAACTTAAGCCTTTCTAGACATAATGAAAATCGTTGTAGGACTGACTAGCTTTGAACCTTTAAAACTGTGCTGCTCATAGAAGTCTGAATAATTGTTTTTCCTCAAAGCAGCTAATGTATTTTGGGTATGTGGAGTTGTTTATTGTTCATATTTACAGTGATCCAAATTGGTTAATTTTGGTTGCAGTGTCCATTCAGAAGCAATCCTGTTTTGTGCTTATGATGATCTATACCTAAATGTCGTATTTTTCTGGTCTCGCAGTGATCTATGCATTTCATGTACCAGCACATTAGATTTGACACCTATGTTAATATATTAATACTGTTATTCCATGATTTTTGCAGCGTGTTCTGCTTCTTGTTGCTTCAGATGTTGATGCATTATGTGCTTGTAAAATACTCCAAGTAAGTCTTTGTTCATTATCACTGTAAGGCTAAGAGTAAAAATGTCCTGGGATCCTTTTAATAGGTTTGAACTGGGTAAAGGGTGGAAGTTTAATCTGCTGTTGCAGCTTATTTTTTCCACGAGTTATGACACTGATAACTGTTAAGTCATACTCCCAAAGTTCATGTAGATTTGTCATTTGGGATGTCTTCAAGATAAAGATTTGTATGAAATAGAATTATAGCATTGTAGAAGAGGTTGCTTCCCCTCACCTTTGCTAACAGCTGTTTGCTTAATTTCAGGCTTTGTTTCAATGTGATCATGTGCAATATACACTTGTGCCGGTATCTGGATGGCAAGAACTTGAAACTGCCTTTCTCGAGCATAAAGATCAGGTGAAATAATACTGGAAACTTTTTAAATTGCAGCTTATCATATAGACAAGCACAACTTCCCTTTCCCCAACTTAAAATGTCATCTCTTGAACTAATTATTATTTGCCTCAAAACAGTGCTTAAAATTTAACATACCGGTAACAAACTTGTCAAATTTTTTGCATCAGCTCAAACTAATGTGCTATAATTTTGATAGAGTCAAATTCAGTTTGCACACATTTTGAGATCTGAAAGGTTGTGGCATCGGGTGTTCAACATCCCTGAATTTGGTGTTTTGTCTTTTTTTTTTTTTCCCCCTCCTCAGAGACATCAGATATCAAGTAAACACAAGTTTTGGCAATGATTAGTGCTTTGGAGCTTTTGTAAAGGTGTTTTCAGTCTTCTGTGTTTCCTGCTAATTGAAGTAAAAAGGATTCTTTCTTTTTTTTGTGCTTTTGTTTGCAGTTCAAGTGTTTTGTTCTTATTAATTGTGGTGCCAATGTTGACCTTCTGGAGATCTTGCAGCCTGAAGAAGACATTTTTTTTTTTGTATGTGACAGCCACAGACCTATCAATGTAGTGAATGTTTACAATGACACACAGGTAAACACTTTTATAGTAAAAATCTTCGCACAGTGTGGTGGTGTGTGGTGTAATGCCTTTCTGTGTTTTTCTGAACTGCTTACAGTGTTAGCTAGTAGGTCAGGAAGCAGTAGTAATGTACATGGTCAGAAAAAAATCTGGTTTCAGTAATAAAATATATACCGTTAGCAGTGTGATAGTTGTCAGCAGTAAGCACCTGTTAATCCTGTTGCTATAAATCAAACTGCTATAAATCAGACGATAAACATCTTCCAAAATGTAACGTGTTTTGACAGCATGATTTTAACAAGCGTAATAAAACAATAATCCTTTCAGTAATACTGTAACAAAGAAATAAGTTTTTTACTCTGATTTTGTATAAATAAGCATGGTCTTTGTATTAAGCAGCGATGTTTTTCTTATGCCAGGAATCTATCACAACCAAAATGAATTTTTAGTTTCTCTTACTAAGAATCTGAAGTATTCTCATTTGTTATTTGAAATGCGTTTTAATCACAAAATAAGATACTTTATATAAAATGCGCTTTTTTTCTTGCTAGATTAAGCTGTTGGTTAAACAAGATGATGATCTTGATGTTCCTGCTTATGATGATATCTTCAGAGATGAAGAGGATGAAGAGGAGGACTCAGAGAATGAAAGTGATGGATCAGAACCTTCAGAAAAACGTAGACGTTTTGAAGAGGTATGTTTCTGCTACTTTGTTGTGAAAAGAAGGAAAATAAAACAGTTATTATACATACCATCATAATGACATTTGAGTTTAAAAATTTTGTTCCACTAGATCACAAATTCAAGTGTAAGATTTAAAAATAATCTACTATGACCAGTAGAGTTTTACATACACAAAATGTTTATTTATCTTAACTGCACAGAAATATGTTCTCCTTATAAAAATACATATTTTGAATTTGTGCGTAATGCTGTCTTTGCGTAATCAGTGTACTGAAGAGATCTATCTCTGATTATGTGATCTGGGCTTTTCAGTCTAGCAAAACAACTTATTTAGATATAAACTTTTTTTTAATAATTATTTGAGAAGACAGACGCTCACAAATAGTTTAGAAATACTTTCTGTCTGTCCTTGCGGTAAACTAACAGAAGTATATTCTGGTAGACACAAAAAATTAAATTTGCCATAGGTTATTTGTAGCATATTTTCTATTCATGCCGCACAAGGAAGCAAAGGCATGAGGCTAGCAATATTAAGAGATAATTAAATGTAAAGACATTCTGAGATCTAATATATATTCCACATTACTTTTCTGTTAACCTTGTACATTTTTTCTGACTAATCTAGGAAGGACGCTAACTCAGCAAAGGCAGATATCAGAAATGCAGAGGAAAATCTATAAATAGTATGCATAAAAGCTAGTCTTGAATCTGTTAAGTAATTCACAAAGATCTTTTTTATTTCTTTGAGTTTTCAAGTTGATTATGCTATTTCTGGACTTTAAATATACATTGAGTGCCTCTTTTTCTGAGATTCATTAGTCAACTTTTTGTTTTTCATTGGTGTAATTTTTATGCTATAAAATGGTAGCTGGGTGTTGCTAATGTTGAGAATACTGTGTACTGGACCTTTTATTTGTGAAGACAAGCCAAATAAATGCTAGTACAGAAAGATGTCATGACTTTATAAAGTGTGTTCCTTGGAAAAATACTTTGTCATAATACTTTTCTCCTTCGATGTTGTTAATAGGAATAATTCTTCCTTTTAATGAAGACTTAGTCATTAAAGTATCTGGATAGCTGCTAATCTACTAGAGTATTTTTTTTCTAGCTTTTTAACAACCAAATTAATTTACAGGATGTAATAGAGAGAACAATGAAAAGGCGACAAAGACGAGAATGGGAGGCACGCAGGTGTGTTTGACTTCTTTTTATATTGCTTGTATCTCTTTTTCTTTCTCTTATTCTTTGATTAAAATCTTGTTGAGAATGAGAAAACAATACTATGCTGCTTGATTTGCAGGCTGCTTTAGTTCTAACTTTATTCAGAAAGTGCAGAGAGGTATTTACTGCATAAAAATAAAACATTTAAATGGACAATAGATGTAATTAGTAATTTATGAATTTGAATAGCAATAGGTGCATTACTTCATTTTTAAGTAGCTGCAGTATTTTTATGTTGTCTAAATTAGGGTGAATCTTGTGCTTCTGTTTTCTTCCTTTACAATCTCACTATCGTCAATAGGAATGAACAGGAAAAAATCACATAAGAAAATGGGATTTGGGGAATAATGATTTTAAAATTTTGTCCTTTTTACTTTATGAGTACATTTCAGTGTCGTTTCCACATTGCTACTAAAATCTAATTGCCTTGCAGAAAAACAATTTCTAGCCCATTTTTCTTTGAATTACTAAAATGAAATTTAAATGTTATTTCGCAGTTCCTGGCTTATACTTTTAATTCGCTCCAACGACCAGTTCACTTAGTCAAATGTGGGGTTTTTTTCCTTTTTTTAGACAAGAAATTCTTTTTGATTATGAGCAATATGAATACCATGGGACCTCAGTAAGTATAAACTCTTGTCTGCCATAAAATACAAGGTGCCAATGTAAAGGTAGTTAGACAATAACCAGTGTTATAATTATCTAATACAAGGTTATAATCATCTAATAATACTATACGTTATAAGAATAGTGTTATATGTTTTTATTTTTGTAGCTTATTGTTGTATATAAGTCATCTATGCACAAGTAGTTTGACTTTGCAGTTTAGTGTTTTCTGGTTGTGTACATCCAATTTTACCAGTGATGAATTAGATACATCATAGAAACAATACTGGTAGACTGGCAGACAGCAGCCAAATGAGTCACAGGGGCTAATGTAATGTTAACAGTGGGGGGAAATGATAAACCAGAACTACATTTTTGTTGTTTGATATCTTTAATACTGGTATAAAAAAATTATAACTGGAATATTTTTAGGTCATGACAAAAGTATACGTCTACGCACAAAATACTGTCACAAAAATACTTTATCATGTAGGAGCTTGTTTGGCTTTCAAAGTTTTCAGGATATTTCAAACTTAACACTTAGGACATCAAACTGTTCCTTCTGTCATTTGGCCTCTTGTCTGAATATTTTTACATTTTGTTACATGCTGCTTTATATATAATGCAGGTTTGTGAAGCTGTGTAAAGTATTTTTCTTTCTACTTAGTGTCTTAGAAGGTAAGACATTGGCAGATTGTCAGACTCGAGTGAGATTTCTAGAGCTTTAGTAACATGTTAGTACTTGTCAAGTTTTACTGTGTTCTATTTGTTTAATGAAGTGAGAGTTGTGTGTTCACTTATCCTCTCTTTTTGCTTTTCCCTCATGTAGTCTGCGATGGTGATGTTTGATCTGGCATGGATAATGTCTAAAGACTTAAATGACATGTTGTGGTATGTTTCCATTATCATTTCTCATAAAGGCTACAAGCTTAATCCTGTAGTAAAGAGAAGCAAGATTTTGCAAAACTATTTGATTTCAGCATGAGGTTCCAGTTTATGTACTGTGTGGATGTATGTCTTGAATTAGAGAACACATCTCTGTGAATTAATTACAAGCTAACAATAGATTTTGCACAGAAAAAGGGGGGATGGTATATATGTGTATGACTGTTGAAAAGGGGATAATAGTATATAGCTTTGTAACATAACTTCTGGTGAACTGAATGTCTCTGACTTGTTCTGTTACATACTTAGAGGGTTAAAAATAATGTACTGTACTGGAATATTTTTTTAGTTTAACTTTTTTTTCCCCTTTTTCCCCTCCCAATTTTAGGTGGGCTATTGTTGGCCTAACAGATCAATGGGTCCAAGATAAAATCACTCAGTAAGAAAGATTTTTTAAAAATTTATCTTTCTTTTTATTTATTTATCTATCTTTTAATATTTTTTTTCAGGAGTAACTAATAGCAATTAATAGAGATCAGGAAACATGGGAATTAATAGAATACAAGATAATTAAGAAGCAGTAACATTAAATATCTTAATGACTGAATGTGATCTGATTCCTTCAAAAAATGGGAATATACATCAGAAAAAAATGTATTTTCCTTTTCTACTGTTTAGAGTTTTTAAACTAGCTTTATTTTCCACAAAATTGTAAAACAATCACTTCTGATCCAGGAAGAAATGGTATTTAATAGTAATTTATGTAAATATGAACTTGATACAGTTTCATTAAAGGAAAATGTTCTGTATCCTCCAGCTTCTTTCTGGTTTTAGTTAGAGTTTCAGATTTTCTCCTCCCCCCCCCCCCTTATTTCCTACTGAATATCCTCAGAAGTACAGTAGTACATATGTAGACTTTAATTCATGCACTGAGGGTTTTAAGAAGATAAATGTATTAAGTAACTAATTTCATTGGTCAGTCTCTCTCTCTGCATTGGCTTTATTTTAGCTTTAATTGCTTAGGTGTATGGCTGAATATTGAAAGAACATATTGAAAGAACATTATTTAAGAAGTTGGTTTTGTTTTTTTTTTTTAAGATGTATCTGCATTTTTCATGCTGCTGACTGGCCAATGTGTAGTCTTTAGGAAGCATTTTTATGTTCTCATAATAGTACAAAAATACACAGGAAGAAAGTGAAGTAACAAATTTTATTTTGTTAAAGAATGAAGTATGTGACTGATATTGGAATCCTACAGCGTCATGTGTCTCGCCATAACCACCGGAACCAGGATGAGGAAAATTCTCTGTCAATTGATTGCATGCGAATAGCATTTGAATATGAGTATCCTTGCATAAGATGTGGGGAAAATGAACTCTACCCACTTGGTGAACCCGAGTTGAGTTTTTATCGAGGGGGGGAAAAAAAAATCACCATCTCTGCTGCTGAAAATGGAATTAAAAGAAATGGAAATTTGAATGTTTTGTTGAACATGAATCCCTCTCAGTAGCTCACGTAGCTTCAGTTCAGCTTAACCTTTCAAAATTAGTTACAACTCAGTCTTGCTCATCTTGTGTTATGTGCACTTACAGCTTCTGACTGCATCTTAGGTAGTACAGAGATGCAGTATATAAGGGCAACTGAAGACTTAGCTACCAGTTGTGGAGTTTTGTTGCTATTTGTAATGTCAAACAATATGAGTGTTTGTAATTATTTTCCATAATTCCTGTTCAGTCTGCGCCTGGCACTTTACCAGCACTGGTCTCTATATGAAAGTCTCTGTAATACTTCATATACCTCTGCTAGCCTTAAGCTTTGGTCTGTGCAAGGGCAGAAGAGGCTCCAGGAGTTTTTGGCTGACATGGGGTGAGTTCTAAAAATCTGAGTGTTGATTAAAGTATAATTTTTTCAATGAATTATGGAAAAATATCGATAATATAGCTTGTGAGTGCTCAACTAGTTATTTTTTTAAATATGATTGTGGGGCTCTGAGTAGGTTGCAGTGTCTCTGAGTTGAGTTACACAACTTGTGTCTTGGTGTATGAGGAACACTTCAGTTGCGTGCCTTTATGGAATAGTAGGTTAGTAAGTAATCTCTCACATCTGTTCTTCAATGACTAAAGAAAAAAAGAATGCAAATAAGCTTAGTCAGACTTAACTTGCTAAATTATCTAATATTAAGAAAGCCTTATGAAAGGGAGGCAAGACATTTGTTTCATCTGGCATACCTATTTTTTCCTTTTGTTTTCAGTTTGCCTTTGAAGCAAGTAAAACAGAAGTTTCATTCCATGGATGTGTCTTTGAAAGAAAATCTTCGGGAAATGATTGAAGAATCTGCAAACAAGTTTGGGTAAATTGTTTTAAATACAAATGCTTTATCTGAAAATTCTTTTCAATTAAGTTCATATATTTTTGTCTGAAGAGGATATAGCACCTTGTTTGAAAAAAGATGGGGTTTAGTTTGGCAAAGTAATATTAGGCTCATTGGAAATGTTAGGGTATGATTTCTCTTCATGTTCTTAATGTTAACATACTGAAGAGATGGCTGGTCAATATTGATAATAATGCTGATAAGGTTAATAATCTTCACTGCTTTTATCTCATTTTGCAGAATGAAGGATTTAAGAGTTCAGACCTTCAGCATTCACTTCGGCTTTAAGAACAGGTTCTCAGCAAGTGATATAGTTTATGCAACAGCTTCTCTTATGGAGAATATAGAGAAAGAGGGGCCTGAAACCACTAATTTCATTAAAGCTTTGGACAGTCTCTCCAGGTACTGAAAATATGTCTCTTCATTCTTTTACAATTCTATTTAGGGAACATGGATTACATATCTAAAAGATGCATTGATGCTTCATAAGCCATTGAAGAAGAATCAAAATATCCCTGTAAATAGTGTTTAGAGAGTCCTCACTTCTGTGTGAAAAGCTTTATTTTTACATGAAAGTTTATTTTTATTCTTTCTGTTGCAGGGGTAACCTAGACAAACTGCACCAAGGACTGGACCTGGCCAAAAAGCAGTTGCGTGCCATTCAGCAGACAGTAGCCAGCTGTATTTGCACCAACCTTGTAATTTCTCAGGGGCCTTTTCTCTACTGCTCACTCATGGAGGTCAGAATTCTAGTTTTTGGCTGTCTTGTAGCTGAATAACTGTTCCCCTAACTGTTTGACTCAATAATCCAGTGCTGGTGAAACACTGGAACAGATTGCTCAGACAAGTAGTGGAGGCCCTGCCTCTGGAAACATTCAAGGCCAGTTTGGATGGCACTCTGAGTAGCCTGGACTAGTTGAAATATCCCTGCCCTCTGCGGGGGGGTTGGACTAGATGACCTCTAAAGGTCCCTTCCACCCCAAAGCATTCTGTGATTCTATGGTTCGACAAGAATAACTCTGTTGGAAAGAACCTGTTCATCTATACTGTACTGTCCTCTGATGGGTCAATATTGACATCTACTCTGAACTTCCCAAAGGAAGAATCAGTCCTCTCAAAGTGGGGAGGGCTTCATATTGAAGTCAAGTGGGTGAAATCAAACTCCTGTATCATAATGGTTCTTGTTAGTGTTCTTTGATCCACACAAAGCTTTTAGACTTGTCAGTAGATATCAGAATTACGTAAGTGGAAGAATCATCTTGGATTATAATTTAAACAGTTCTTATTTTCCTAGGGTACACCAGACGTGAAGCTGTTTTCCAAACCAGTATCTCTGTGCCTGCTTAGTAAATATTTACTCAAATCATTTATTTGCTCTGTAAGTAAATCAAAAGCTTTTGACTAACTAACTTCTGGCCTGTGTAGTTGTTATTGTTCTGTTGGATACTTGCAGTGGATTATTAAAAACATATTAAAATCTTAATAATGTCTTTCTGCTAATTGGTTGGCTAATTTAAGCATATCTATGAATGCTGCTCTAGGAAAGGTATCTGCCTGGGAGGCTTCTTAGCATTACAAAGAGTTTTCACTACTAAGGTACAATCTAAAATCTTTGTGTAATTTTGTAAGTTTTGAGGGAGCATATCACTAAATATGTACTTTGAAAAGTTAACCTGACACCAAAACAAAGCAATATTGCAGGACTGATACTTGTTATCTAAAGATTTCTGTGTCTGTTTAATAAAATTCTCTGATTTTTACAACCAATGTAACTGAAATTAAATTGCATTTATCTTTTGAGCTATTAGTTACACAATTCAGATTAAAATCAGGTTTTAAGTTTGAGAACTGTCTTCATAGTGAGCACTTGCTAATTTGTAAATGAAATTTATGATGGTCCATCCTTGTCAGATTGCATCGGTCTGTTCTCATATTGAAAGTTAGACATGGTGAATAACTAGTCTGCCACTAGAAGCAGGACAGTGTTTTAAAAACCTGCTGCAAAACGTTTATCTTAAGAACAAAACACTTTAAACTTCTGTTTCTTTTACTTAAGTGTCAAAAAAATGTTAAAATCTTCATAATTATTTTGGGGTTTAATTAAATTACAAAATTTCTTAAAGTTACAGCTTACTGCTGTAAAACAATATGACAGGGGAAAATAATTTCTAGTGAAAACTGTTTGTCAATGTTTTATCTGTTGTTTCTCAGTGTAAAATTATTAATACAAAAAATTAAGCCCAGTCCAAGTTTTTAGATACCCATATCTGCAATTTTTTTGTTGTCTTTTTTAGAGTTTTTTTCCTTTGCTGTAAATCATGTCTTGTGTGTCTATATGATTTCTGTTTTAAAATGAAATCCAGGATTGGAGAACTAAAATTTCTATTCATCCTTAAAGTGACATTTACTGTAAGAAAGAAGGGGATTAAGATATTGTGTAAAGAAACCACTTTCTGTTGAACTGCATTATAGCTGTATCCTGAGATGCATTATTTGTAATACTAGCTCACATAGAGAGCTGAAACTGAATTGTTTCCTGAGTTTTGTCTAACAAAGAGGCCTTCTGCCTTCCAGACAAAAAATAAGCGTTGTAAATTGCTGCCACTTATAATGGCTGCACCAATGGACGTTGAACAGGGAACTGTGATCATGGTGGGGATTCCTCCGGAGACAGAAAGCTCGGACAAAAAAAAGTAAGTATATTGTTTAGAAGTTCTTACTAAAGGTTATCTACAGACTTTTCCTGTCTCTGAAGCAAATACATCTTTTCTGTACCTATGTAACATTGAATATGTTGAATTGTATCCTTCTTAAAAAGACACTTTTTGCCTATGGTATGCATGAGATACTTTAAGAGGATACAGATGTTCCCCAGCTTCCTTGCAAGTTTTATTTTTTTCCCCTCCCTCTTAACTATATCTTAAGAGGGAGATAGTTCACTGTATGACCCATGACTTCATTTATTAAAGCCTGCAGTGTTACAATCTTTGCACTTGAATAAGTGAGGTGTATGTTGAATGCACGGCACCTGAAAAATATCTGGAAGACATTTTCAACTCTGCAAGGAAAAAATTCCATACCTCTACCGTAGTAAGTATATACTTTTCTGTAATGCTCATTTGTATTTTTGTTCATGTTCTAGCTTTTTTGGAAGAGCATTTGAGAAAGCTGCGGACAGTACCAATTCAAGGACTTTACACAACCATTTTGACATGTCAAGTGAGTAACGCTGCCGGTCACTGCTCTCATTCACCAAACGGTCCTGTAGGGGTCAGTGTTTACGCAGACTCCATAAAGCACCGTGACAGCAGACCGCATACTCATTTGTGTATGTCTTGGGTGCAAACAGTAAGGGTGTGTATGTGATACACCATTCCTGAGCCAAGTATAAACACAAACTGCGTTATTTGTCAGTCTTTTTCTAAATGCTGTCTTGTGCAGAAATTATTAACTACTAAGCAGAGGCTTGCGTATCTTTTTGAGACAATCTATGTTTTGCATGGAGTAATGATTTTCATATGTACACTTCAGTTTAAAATCTATGAGGTTATCTGTGAGGATTTTCATATTTAGCAGCTAAACCAAGTATGGTACTGATGTTATGAGATGCATTCCTTATTGTCTATTTGAAAAATGAGGTACTTATGCAATGAGATTTGCCTGTCTTTGTATATGCTTACAAAAGAGACAGTTTATAATAATACGTACTTATGTTGAACATACAAAGAAACATTCCTAGATTTAAAAAAGTGGCAGCTGTATCCTGTAGTGAGCACCTAGAAATCGGACTTTGCTGAAATCTAAGAGCAAAATAAACAATGTGCTTTGCATTTTGTCCAAATAAAGAGTTTCTCTTTTTACTTCTTAAAGTTGATTAAGAATATAAATAAGTATACTTGGAATTAATATTCTTCAAGTGTGACATCTAGTATATCTTTGTTATTTGCATCTTGTAATAAAATATTTCATATTTTAGTAATTGAATTGAAAACAGAAGACCGGAGCAAATTTCTGGATGCACTCATTTCTCTCTTGTCCTAATGGTAAGACAGCGTAAGGAGAATTAATTACAAATCAAGTTAGACTTTCGTATATTATCTGTAGAATGTGCTAAGAAAATGTGGCAACTTCTAGTGAAAATATAAATTAAAGATAACAGTTTCTTAAAAAGACAATTCTTTTTCTTTTTGGGAGGAGGCAAGCAATGTACAAGCAGGGTTTTTTCAATTCCCCTTCTTTCCTCCAGTTAAGAGATTTATTTAAGTTTTGTCATCCAGAAGCCTCTCTTCCTTTGTTCTTAACTTTTTTGGCTTTCTAACTTCTGCTGGAAAAGGAGCAGTCGTTCGTGTTGTGAAAGAAATTGAGATATTAGCTAATTGTAGTTGATACTCTGTTAGTGACATTAATTATGATGGCTTGTTTGAGCTCAGGATGGAATCTTGGCCATAGCAATGCCATTCTTGGCTTTGATGTTAATGTAGAACTTGCGTTTTTCTTTCACAGTGTTAAGGTTGTAGCCTATGTTAGGGTGTAGTTTTTTATCTAGAGTAAAGATGGGGCTATAAGACTTCATTCGTAGTTGTGACTATTAGCTGCACCTTAGTTCAAAGTCTTCTTTAAAGCTACTTTACGGCAAGACACTTAGATCTGATGAAACTGTCAAATTGTTGCAATTTTCTTCAAATATTCACTTCTTTTCAATGATGAACTATTTATATCAGTTTGTCTGTACATTTATTCTGCAGTGATGGGTGGGGATAGCTTGCTTTCTTCCAGAGAAGCAGCCAGATTCTTTTTGTAAAGTCTGCTCAGACAACTTGTAAGACTTGCATATAAAGTACCTCATAGATTTTTCATGCCTAGATAAAGATTTGGTCTTCAGTATTAACATGTCAAGTGATCTCACAATATTTTCTTTATGGTATATATATGGAAGCAAAGGAGTAAGATGACTTTAACAACAGTTTGTGAATGTTGGTAGTCCTAGCCAAATGACAATATGACTTACCTTTTTTCAATGGGTATCAAAACTACCATTTTTGTTTTCTTCTGTTTACTCAGAAGTTTGAAACAGTGGGTCAATAGCTCCACTTGTTGTTCGTTGGACAGCATAGTCATGCATGACTTCCAAGATTTCTATGTCTGTTTTGTTCTTTCTTTACACTCCAACTTGTGTTGACCAATTGTTTCAGTTTGTATTCTGCCCTTTGTACACAGTGGTGCTTTTTGACTCCTTGTGCTGGAAGCTGAGGATCAGATGTGCTGAAATTATTTTGGATGATCCAAGGTTCATGGTGCTGCGATTTTGACATATCATCTTGCTTTATCTTAAATGTACTGGTACAGGCCTGGACTGTTGTTTTTATGCCTCTTGGGAGATCAGAAGGATTTTAACCCTGGCACACAGATATTGAACACTGCTTCTTTGTAAGGATCTCATCCTCGTAATGGCAAAAGGTGTCAGCTAGGAGCATTTGAAAACTGGACTTCTATTTGTCAAACCTACTTTTGTTAAGACGTGCTCCTGTGATGTTTAGTTGTTGGCTAATAACAAAAAAATATGTTTTGAAGAAGTTCCATATTTATATTGCCATTCAAATGTTCTTTTAATTTTGTCTTGAATGCTTTTTTTATTATTTTTTGGGGGGGGGGGTTAGAAGAAACTTTTTGAAACTCCCCTTGAATTTATGCAATGTTGAAGCTGGTTTTAGTACTATCAAGTTGAGGTCTTGTACTTTAATTGAAATAACTGTTTTGTGACACAAGTTTTAAGATTTTTAAGGGCTTTTAAAATCCAAGTACTGAGTAACTGCCAAACACCGAATGAAAAATCTGGGGAATTCTAGTGTCAGTAAAGCATTTGTAGTCATGCATCGTGATACTGTATTGTCACTTGTAGCTTGGCTTTGGGAATGACTTTCCTGGAAAGTCTAGAAGAATATGACACTTGTGTGTAGGTTGCAGCATTATAAATACTAGCTCAATCCTGTTCTATAACAGAAGTTTCATTTCATTTCGGTCATATGAATTGGTATTGCTTGTCAGACTTATCCTGCTGTGCATTGGGTGGGTATGTATACGTGTATGTTTGGAATACTTTTTCTTCTTTGCAATGTTTTCTGGAATTCCATGCTACTTCAATATTTTCATGTAGTATAATGAATATGTAAAGGTTATGTGTCATTACATCACACTTTGTACATACTTCTAATGCCATTTAATTTAATATTAAATGTGATTTAAATGTAGCTATCAGAAAGCTAATTAAACTATATATTTTTATTCAAAGGTGATTCTTTTTTCCAATGTTGTCATCTTATCTGAACACTAAAATCCCCATCCCAAGCTGCAATGGCCAAAAAGCTGTGCTTCCTAAGATAAAATATAATGCCACCTTTCGGTTTTACATGTTTACTAGGTAGTATTTGCAACAAATAATATCCCTCCTTGCCAGCACACTTTGGCCTTTTCCTGTACACAGAATACAGTATTTTTATCACATTTCTGAAGTAGATTACTGTCTCTGGAAATGGCAATACACAAGTTTATGTTGTTTTTTGAACATCGATACCAGTGCCAAGCCATAATTACAATGTAAAAGCTAGGAGTCTATGTGACATTATGCACACTTCTATTTTCACTTTATCTTTCTGTTGCAAACTACTGAGTCAAGTGAATTTCTTAAATTTATCTTAAACTTATATATCACAAAAGAGTCGCTGCCATTTCCACAGCACTAAATGACTATAACTTTAGTTCAGCCCTATCATGTGTTTCAGTGTGTGAGACCACATTCATGTATATGAAATGAATAATATGTGTTGGGTAAAACTGAATTTTTACTTGCATAGTCTGCTTGCTCAGTAAATGCATAAAACGTCTTGCATGTCCTGGATCTCTGACTCATGGTTCAGTGGCCACCTATCAGGAAATCCTCAACAAACAACTAAATTTCCCATTTTCTCCCTGTACAAAACCTTTAGACAGGGGAAAAAAAGTGTTGTGAGGAAGGCATCAAAAAGCACGGGCATGTAACTTCTCAGTTTAATTACTGTCTCTGTCTATAGTTACATTTATTGCAATGTTTTCAATACGTGGAATAGTTCTGATGGGTACCATAGCAAGCTATTACCTCTATCTTCCTGTTTAGGGTTTTGGTTTTCCTGTTTTTTCCTCCACCCTCCCATTAGAAGCTCTGTGTGAACCCCTTCGTATCACCTCACCATTTCTTTTATTGCAGTTGTATCCCCTGTCCCTCTCCCGGAACTTCATGTAATTACTCTATTCCCCTTTCAGGACATGTTTGTGTTCTACTGCTACCACCTTTCCCTGCTGTTGCGATAACTACAGATCTTGCCTTGCAATGTAGAAGGAAGTTGGAGGGGGGGAGTGTTTGTGTGTTTGTTTTAGTAGGTGACTGTCATGTCTTGGAAAATGGACGAATTTTCCGGTGGGTGCGCCCTTTAACTTCAGCGTATGGAGTCATGCTGGGAAGATGAGAAATGGGAGCTAATTCTTATGCTGGGATGTGTTGGTAATTACCTACTAGCAGGTTCTTCAGCCTCCAGACAGACGTTTAAGCTTGAAGCTGTGGCTATATCACATGGAGAATAAGCTTCTCTTGGCCCTTGTTTATTGCTTTTTGGGGGATTTGGGGTTTTTTAAGGTTCTAGTTTTCCCAAGATCTACTGGAGGTGCCAAGAATGCATTTGCAAATTTTAGAAATGATCAGCTGCTGAACTGATGCCAAGGCCATCCAAATGTGGCCCAAAATCAGTCAGGAATGCTGAATGCTGCTTAAAAAGTTATTACATCTATGTGAATATCTGCCAATAGATATAACTTTTCCATGTCAACGTTTTACAATATGTAAAACAGTATCAGACACTGCATACATAGTGTATTCTGTGCTATAGAGTTTGTAGATAAATATGTTAATATTGCTTGGAGAATCATTGTACAGGAAGATCGAAAATTGTGGAGTCCTGTGTATGGATACAGAAGTAGCTCAGTTCAACAGCAGTAAATTGGTGGTTTGAATGGCTCGTTGAAACTCTGTTGTGCAGGTCAGTTAAAATGGTTGCTTCTTACAGTTAAGCGTTGGGCAGAGACTCCATGCCAAGAACTCTTGACATCTCTTCATGAAGAGATTATTGTGCTTTTGATTCATTTGTACAAACAGAAAATGTGGGTCTAATGAGTCATTTTATAACAACTAGTTAGAGCACTAAGAAATCAGCTTACCCTCTTAGATGTATGGTGACATTCCACCTAGCCATGCCTGAATACAAATAGAAACATTCCCTAAGGATTATATTCGAGCTGCAGTAACTCTTTTTTCTCCATTGTGTTTGCTTGCTGTAATACTACCCTCATAAATCAGCTCTTTAATTTATTTCTTCTGCTACTAATCTTTTTTAGAGAACAATAAGTGTGAAACAAGTCTTTAAAAATGTTTTAGATTTTTAAGAAAATAAAATAATGAAAATCTTTGAATACCAAAGTACTGAAGTATCTGAACAAGCTGACTAAAATACACCATTCCTGCACAGTGATTCATGGCCGTTTTCTTTCTGGGGTCATGAATTTAGACATAATTGAAATTGCACAGTAAGGACCTCATTTGATTGGAATTAAAGTGAATCCCTTTCCCCAGAAGAATCATAGTGACTTCATACACTTGTATTTAGCAACATCAAGGTTGCATAGTGGGTGAGAATTAATTCTTGCTTCCTTTACTGTTTCTCTTAAGAAAAAAATGAAGAAGTATTATAGCTTTCTTGTATGAATGAGCCTCTGGGTCTACACCACTTTAAACACAGTGTTAATCACTATGATGGCAGACCAGCAGGCCATTTAATCAGCATCTTGACCTGTAGAATGTCAAAGTGCTAGGAAGGAGTGTAGAAAGAATGCAATTGCCTGCGATGCTTCCTTCCACATACAAACACAAGTACTCTCCCAGTCCTCCTAGTCAAAGACATCCTGAACCAGGTGGGGTTTCTGTGTATTTGGAAACTGTCAGTAGTTACCTGTGAACC